TAAGATCTGGTCATTGGTTGATGAGACCTAGACCAAAGGCTCAGTGGTCACAAATGGAGAAAGGTAGAGATTGATCAGAAATGACAAGTCTGCAGGACTCAGTGATGGGGTGATCAGGTGGGTAAGTTACCGGAGGTTGTCAAAATTAGAGTGTAGATTGCATTTAGTCAGTATACATTGGTTCTATAATTTGGTTTGAAAATTGAGTATTTTAGCCCTTGAACATGCTGGATAACTGTATGTTGGGTAGGTGTGGATGAATGTGTGCCCTCACTGCACCGAAGGTGAACTTCAGTCTCATCTGCCTCTCACTTCAGTTCATCCTCAATCCTAAAGTCTTCAGATGAACAGATCTCATTTAATTTCGTGATCAGCTCATTTGCCATGTACTTTTCTTACACTAACCTCTTCTTTCAGTAACTGTCTGTTATTTCTTTATCCATGGTTCCAGATGTCCTGGTCATCTTGTTTCTCAACATAGCTTGCTAGGGGGTTGAGTTGTTAGAGTCAAGTAAACAAAACAAAGTAACCTTTGAGAGACTATCACTGAGAGATAATGGAAAATATCTCAAAAAGTAAACATAACAATTGATAATGAGTAGCCACTGAGTGAAGTCAAGGATGAAATCTGGGAAAGTAACCTTTATGTCATCAATTCTGGAGGCTGTATAGAGCCCTTGCTGTCTGTAATGCTCAGTTTGAATCATCACACAATGCTTCAGTTATACCCTTTACAGTCTGAGAGAGAAGACGGGTCAGTGTGTGGTGCTTGCTAGAAAGATTTCCTTCAGAAATGTTGTGATTTTCAAAGTTTGTGCTTAGGGGATGAGATTCAGTTATAATGAAAATTAACATCTATAAAATATCTCATTTCCGGGCCCTCCCTGGTGGCACAGCGGGTTGGAGCACTGCACTGAGAAGCTAAAGCCACCTCCGCATGAGTTCGATTCCCGCCTGCCCCGGAGGCGACCACATGGTGTGGCAGACCTCTCCTGGCCCGCCCGCTGCTCCCCTCAGCAGTGTACTTCCTTGATCTGCCTGTTCTGCTCCCCACTCTGTCTCTGGTGAATCCTCTCACCCTCCGCATCTCTGGCCTGTACCCCAGTTCTGTACGAATGGATGAATCTTTAAAAAAAAAAAAAAATATCTCATTTCCCAGTATGTCAGATAAATGAGGTATTATACATATAATCCTAGCAAAACAGAATTCTCTATTCCCCAGTTATATAAGAAAAAGGGAAATATTGATTCGGGTACTTCATTTTAGTGTTGAAAAGCAGGTCAAATAAGTAGTATTTGAGGGGTCTAATAATTTCCTTAAGCACTTCTGCAACACATGATTTGCACGTAAGATTTTTTTTTGTGGTGAGGATTAAATGATTGCTTAGCAGATCCTCCCATATAGTAACTTCTTGTCATTACAATGAGTTGATTTTTATCCATTTTTCTTCTTTAAATATTTTTTGTCCTCATTGGTTTTTCACTACATATCTTTCATTTCTTAATTTTAATTTATTTGTGCTCTTATGTGTCAAAGATTAAGTAGCATTAAGTCACATTCTTTGTATAAGCTTCCTTAGAATTTCCACACATAGTTTCATCTGAGTAAAGGAGAACAGATGTTGGCAATTGTTCTTTTTTGTGAAGTCAAACCAGTCCAGGATAGTAAAAGGAAAACATATCCTCAAAAGTCTAGTAATAAGGAAAATAGTCCTGCTTTCAGAAAGGTGAAACCATATCAAACTATCTTTAAGTGAAAATGGGAGAAACACCCACGTATTTTATATAACTCATAAATATAAAGAAGGAAAATAAGTTATTATATACGTAGACCTCTGTAATAAGCAAGAACTAAAGTACAATAACAGCTGCAATTTTTATTTCTATACCTAGTTGTAAGATCATAGTTGAGATTTACATCTACCATTTGCCTTCTGACAGTAACTCATCTATTTGGGTTTCTTAGTTTAGTGAATCAACCCAAACTTTCATCACTAAAGGGTCTGAGTGCTTGGTTGTCCTGGATGGATTGATGTCAAGTTTTGATCTTATGGGATCATATCTGGTCAGATAAAGAGATGCCCTTGAGGATGTCCTGGGTGTCACATATGACAAAAAAACTTATCTTTCCGCCTGTTCCTATATGTATATGGGGAACTGAATTGCCAGGTAAAGTCTCAAGTTCTAATTTAGTGGCACCTTGACTGCAACCCATGATTTAATCATTTATTTTACTGTAAGTAGATTCTTTAATTAAAAAATAGTGTTGTGAGAAATTATTGACCATGGGTAGGACATTCTGGAAGTGTACAGATGATGATATGCTCAGACCGTTGTACAGGTGAGTGAGTCCCTCCCACACACACCCCTGGGAGAGAAGGATGTTTGGCGAAAGGGCTCCTGACATTATGATGCCACCAGGAATCCTCTCTCCATAGGAAGATTTAATCTACCTTCAGAGTATTGCAAGAACAAGTCTGCTTTTCATTAAGTTTGAAGGTCAGGTCTCCCACAAGGCAGTGATCAGGGACTCCTCGATGACTGTGGACTCTGCTAAAGACTTTTGTTTCAACATTCTTTCCTTCTCCAAGTCCTCCATTTCTGAGGTATTCATTAATATCTTTTGAGCAATTCTCTTTTCATATCTCAGGTATGGTGGTATCTTTTTCCCATGGTCTTAAACGTTCACTCTATGTTAGTTACTGATATTTTTACTCTGGCATGTGTTCATTGATTTATTCACTCACTATTCCTCCCATGTTTTAGACAAGGTGCTAAATTCTAGAAACATACAAGTGAGGAAAAGCCAAGTCTGCCTTAGGGACCTGCAGTTCATTGAGGATGTCCAGTAATTAAAGAATAATATTGCTAACAATATGAAAAGTAGGTGTGTGCTGTGTTGGAGAGGACTGTTTACTATGGAAAACATCCCCGACAGTCCTCAGGGTAGGCTGTCTCTGATACAGGAACATTTAAGCTAACGCCTCAGAAACACTGAGGCGGCCACTGTAAAATTAATATTACCTTGAAAGATGTTCTAATTCACCCTGAAAGCAAAGTTTTGCTTCCCCCACATAATGCTTGATCACTTTGGAGATTCTATATTCCTGATGTACGTAGAATCCTAACTTCCTCTTAATGAAAATATTGTGATTGAATAAATCTAGCGCTATTCAGTTTCTGATGTCTGCTAGCTGACTTCATGAAAAAAACATACATTTTCTTTCTTCAGAAATAAATTGTAGTTGATCATTAAAACCAGTGGTTCACTCACTCACTAATATCTCCTGAAATTATTTTGTGAAATTTGTGCAAAGGTTTTATGATTGGGTGATTTATGGTGTAGCTGAGAACATGAACTCTGGAACTAAAATACTTGGATTCAAATCCTAACTCAACTTGACAACATCCCCTCCAATTCTACTGATGTTGTCTCAACTGGTAAGAGTTCACCTTTTAATAGATAGATAGTACTTTTTCATATATATGTATCACGTGTCCATCTACTCCTCTGTCATTGTGCACTTAAGTTCTATAAGTTGGCTATTATAAATAGTGCAGCAGTGAACATAGGAGTGCCTGTATCCTTTTGAATGAGTGTTTTGCCTTATATGGAGAAATACCAAGGAGTGGAATTGCTGGATCACATTATAAATCTATTTTTCATATTTTGAGAAAACTCCATGCTGCTTTCCATAGGTGCTTTTCATTCCAGCCCACAGTGTAGGAGTGTTCCTTTTCACCACAACCTCGCCAACATGTGTTGTTTCTGGACCTTTGTTTCTGTTTTTTTAACATGGCCCAATTTCAGTGGAGTAAAGTGGTATCTTATTGTGTCTTTGATTTGCATTTCCATGTTAAGTGATAAGTGTACCTTTAGGCTACTTACATATCTTCTTATTTTATCACAATTAAATACACATTTACAAAAACAAAAAAATCCTGACTCAAGCACTTACCAGCTATGTGAGCTTCAGCAAGTTACTTAATTTCCCTGTGTCAGAACTTACTTATTTAGAAAATGGTAAAGTTTCTCTTAAATTCCTCCTGTAAATGAAACAATTCCATATTTTTTTCTTTTTCCTTCTGATTTATTTCACTGAGCATAATCCCTTCCAATTCCACCCATGTTGGTGTGAATGGCATGAGTTTATTCCAGTGTGTGTGTGTGTGTGTGTGTGTGTGTGTGTGTGTGTGTGTGTGTGTGTGTGTGTGTGTGATCTAGTTTTATCCAGTCATCTAGTTTTGAGCATTTGGGTTGTTTCCAGGATTTACCTATTGTAAGTAGTGCTGGCAATAAACATAGGGGTGCATGTATCTTGAATTAATACTTTTGTGTCCTTTGGGTAGATACATAGGAGGAAAAACTATATTGTTAATACCATAGGAAACAAAACAAAACCAAACATATAATTATAAACCAGAGGGGGACAGAATGGGATCAGAAAAAGGTATAGGAATGTGGAGGACTATAGTGATGATGGATGGGGGAGTGGGGAAGTAAACATTGTTTTAAAATGAATAATGTAAATAGACATATAAATAAAATTTAAAAAAAGAAAATGGTAATGGTAATAAAACAGCCTATTGTATGGAGTGTTATGAACAGAGGGTTAAACAGGAGCTTGTATGTGCCAGCTGAGAGGGGGGCCTTATAGTAGTGAGGAATAGAGAAGCATAAGTTCATCATACCTCTGGAGTCTGTGGCTGAAGGATATCTTTTTAGATGCAATCAAAGTTATAAATGTATTCAAGCCATTTATGTTTTAATCTGAAATACAAACAATGGCCATTCTATTTTGATCTCTGTACTAACCAGCTTCATGATTTGATATTCAAGAATTGAAAGCCTGTTTTTTTCATTTGAGAAAAGACAGGATTTTAAAACTTGGAGAAATGCCAAATACTGTGAGTCAGTACTTACATGAAATAAGAAGTGCTTGCTTTCTTGAAACATGCTTTGCTATTCTAACAGTCATGACCCCATGATTGTCTTCCAGGTGTTATCACCAGTTATGAACTCTATCTGCATGGCCTATTAGTTCACAATTCCTCCAAACTCAGCTGGCATGCTTCTGGGTTTGTTCCTGGGAGTTTACACATCTTCAGAGTCCATCTCTGCATGGCCAAAGGTTATTCTTTGGGCCCCCAGGTGAGTATGTGAATTTATTTCTTGGGAAAGTATTTGATATCACATGACCCTGAATATCAAGGGGTGGTGATTTCCTTCTCTGTAGCTACCCTCTCAAGCAGAATGGGAAGATTTGTTTAATAAAATTTCATTTAAGAGTTAATAAGACTTTATATTCAACATAAATTTCAAGACAGTACATAGGTCTAATGAAGGACAATCTACCTTTTACTGAAATTGGCAAATGTAAGGGTGTCCAGTCAAATAGGTGGATATTCAGTTTTGCCTATTGTGACATGTTTAAAGTGGATTTTTTTTTCTAAAAAATAGGCCCAACAAGTAAACAAGTTTCTGATTAAGAAGTAAAAATAAGTGACAGTCCATACAGCCATAATATGTCAATACCATTACCCAACAAATATGTGAATTCATTAAAAGACTGTTTGCCTCATCTGTTAGAATAACATTTCATTTCATTAGTATCAAACAAATTCATAAGGACAAAATTTGAAATTCCATTAAAATCATCTTTTGATACCCATATTCCAAAAGTCTATAATGCATCTCTCTATTTCATTACGGTTAAGAGATTGACGCAAGTATGCTTTTTATTTCTGATATAATTTTAATTTTAATAGTACATAATTACGAGAAAGACTGGCAAGACATTCTTTAGCGTCAAAGCATCATATTTTATCGTTGTTCACTTTTCTTGATGAATTAGATTTAGCTTCTTTTAGGAGCAACACTCATTCGTTTTAGATATGTTTTTGGCAATGTTTGCTAAAATCCTATCATTTTAAATGCACTCTGTCTTCATTGAAGAGTGTATTATATAAATATTACCTACAAAAGTAGCTCTAGTTTAATTTTTCCTTCCATATTTCTGATCACACCTCTCATTTCATTGCAGAGATTGGTTGCTTTCCAAGATGCTAAAATCATCTGTCAGGGGAGCTGAACTGTAGTCTTTATTGCCATTAAGTATTTTACAGTCCAGGCCCTTTGATGGGGACTCACTCTTAAAAGCAGGAGTGGCAGTGAGCCAACATTTCCTCTCCATTCAGAGAGACACACCACACACACACACACACACACAAACACACACACACACAAGATCACTGCCTATAAGCTTGAAACTCAGACTTCTCAAACATAAACTGCACATTGTGGTCCTAGATATTAAATTGGCCCCATTCCAGCTCTTCAGGTTCTGGCCACATTAAACAAGTAAGACATGATTATTGACAGGCACTTTAAACAAGTAAGACATGATTATTGACAGGCATCCCATGCAGATAGTGGACAATGTTAACCTTAAAAATCAAATCCACACTGCCCTGATGAGAAGGGCCAATCAAAAAAGGACCACCCAGCTTTCTCTGCCACAGCCTCTGACTTGCTAAGCTCCAGCCTGATTTAGAGAGTTCATTTCTCCCCCAGTCGCTTTCTTTCTCTTGTGTCAATGTGCAAACATGTTTCCCAAGTCAATGATCCAGCTCTAATCACTGGGATTGAACAACAATGTCTTTATTTAGAATAAGTTAACTGTATGCTTCCAAGAAGTGAAAACCCTTGTATTGGACTTATTTCTAAAATCTTTTTCACCAATTAGATGACCTTACATGTCTGAGTATCCCAAGTATCCCCATCTGAATGAAAGATATTATAGATTCAGTTCTTTAGGATTGATGATTCTTTTGAATGTGTTATTACTGATTTGAGACATCCATGAATCTTAAAAGCCACACTTGCCTATCTTTAAATTATCAAATAATATTCAAGTAAAGTCAGCCAAATGTAGCAACTGTGGATATAATCATGTTAGAAGTATTCTTTATCTAAAGCCCATTGTTATGTTTCACTGAAACAAAACTATAAGAAGTTCTTATTTTTAGATCTTTTGCTGGAAGACATCAAAGAATACATTTTTGAAGGAAGTAGTTTGTTTTTGTTCACCCAATAGCTTGTCCTAATGATATCTCTTCGTTTTTAGAAAGAGAAGCCTGTTTGTTTTACATCTTCTACATATTAAAACTAGAGTCATTCCTAAGTGCAGGGAAATACATTCAATGTTTTTATAACAAATATGTCTTACAGGATGTAGTAGTAGTAGGATTCACACTCATATTGGCAGTTGTTCATATAACAAAAGAAAAAAGTACTAAAAATCAAATTTATTAGAGTACTTTTAAAACTAAAAATTCATATGTAAACTCCATATTTTTACCATTTTTATGCAGTATTAGCTCAACATATTTTGTTTTCTGGCTTGACCAAAGTTTGTTCCCTTCTACTTGTAGTTCACAAAGTATCCATAAAAGATTTCCTGTGGTTTGTTTTCAATTCTTCATTTACACAATATAGTTGGATTTTTTAACAGGATTCTCACTAAAAAGTACTTTACAATGCCACTGATTCCAATTTTAAGTTTCTGATGTGCGTTATCAAATTAATTCTAGTAGAGTTTTAAATTGTTTAAAATGGACGTGAAATTTATTTTTTTTCCTTACAGTTATACTATTGTAGTAAAGAAAAATGTCTCACATTTTTAATAAGATGCAATGACTTTGGTGATATGAGAATCGATTTATTTCTTCCAGGTAGCATGGTTAGCTAGTCTTCGCAGTGTCTGAAATTGGGAGTTTTATGACTCTGTCTGGCCTTTGAACATTCACTTAGTCCAGTTCTTCAAAGCCCCTTCTTAAGAATGATTTTGAGGGCACTCCCTGGTGGCGCAGTGCTTAAAGTACCACACTAAGAAGCTAAAGCCACTTCCGCATGAGTTCCACCCCCACCTGCCCGGGAGCTGACCCACATGGCGCAGCGACTTCTCCTGACCCGCCAGCTGCTCCCCTCAGCGGTGTCCTGCATTGATCATTGATTCTGCTGCCTACTCTGTCTCTGGTGAATTCTCTCACGGCCCCTGCACCTCCAGCCTGTAACCCAGTTCTGTATGCACAAATAAATAAATCTTTTTTTTTTTTTTTTTTTAAGATTTATTTGTACATACAGAACTGGGGTACAGGCTAGAGGCTCAGGGGTGGCGAGAGGCCTCACCAGAGACAGAGTGGGGAACAGAACAGGCAGACAGAAGAAGCACACTGCCGAGGGGAGCAGCGGGCGGGTCAGGAGAGGTCTGCCACACCATGTGGTCACCTCCGTGGCAGGCGGGAATCGAACCCATGCGGAAGCGGCTCTAGATTCTCAGTGCTGCGCTTTAACCCGCTGCGCCACCAGGGAGGGCCAAATAAATCTTTTTTAAAAATAAAAAAAAAAATGATTTTGAAACTCTAGGCCACTGCTGTGTCTGGGTTTCCTTGGAGAGGCCCTATCTGCAGGTAACCCGGCAGCCACACGTGTGGGCACTTACCTTGTCACAGACACTTTCACAAAGAACTAAACACGTTTATTATTGTCAGGAGCTTCAATATTATATTTGCTATGGTTTGGAAAACCTTCTGTGGGAAATCATCCCTAAACCTATTTTCCCCTCCTTGAGAAAATACTTATTCTATTAACTTCAACTGTTACAAATGAAAAATAAGGTCTACCTTAAAAGTGTTTACTCTAAAAATATCAATGGAATATTTTATACAAGGGTTTCCAGTACATCATGAGTTGATTAGAGATGAAATTTGTATTGAAATGTTTGTATGTTTTCATTGTATATTTGTTTTCAAGTAATTTTTTTTCTGTCAAGGGAGATTCCAAGATCAAAGTAAACTAATCTCTCAGCTTGTTTTTTTCCTAAATTTTTTTCTAAAATCAAGGAAGATAGTCAAAAGGTAAATTTTTCAAAAATACCAACTCAGAACAAAATAGTACTATTACCAAATTTAATGTGGCTTGAATACTGGAGTTTTAATTTTTAATTAACCAGATATTTTAGGATAATAATGTAATTACCTGGAATTTTTTTAGTTCTTTAATGTTGTGAATCTCATTTTGGTTTGAAACCTTTAAAAATCATTTTCTATACAATAATGTGATCTCTCTCCCTATAGAGAAAATGAAGCCAATTGCATTGTTATGAAATATTAAAGTGGTGAATTGGTATTTTTCTAGTCAAGTTTCTTTATCAACTTTTGTACTGAGCTATTAGGAAAAAAAAAAGAAGAAGAAAGAAAAATTGAGTAGGAGTTATAGATCTAAAGAACCCCATAGCCTTTCTCAGATGAAAATAAAACATGTCGTGACCTCGTACTTATTAAAAATTAACACTCTGTCTTTTTCACATTTATTTTCGTAATTGGGAAGGCGTATTTGCCCTAACAAATGAGGGCTTCCTAATCGAGAATATCTGCCTGCGTAAGGGTTTCCTGCTTCCTCACCTGCTTGTGAGGCCTGAGCTTGCGCTTTAAGAAGGTCAGAAGATCACCACTAGATCTTAAAAGGGACTTCTCAGCCATGCAGATGATCTGTGGTGATTGGTTATCAAATTTAAGCCAATTTTTAAAGATGTTAAAATATCCTGAAGCCCTTTCCTCCCAATCTTGCCCTTCACCCTCCTTTTAGCCATTTTGTCATTTTACTCATTTTCCTCCGCAAGTCTTTCTGGCTCCTGTGCATTTAGGGAGTGCATCTTAGTTCAGTATCCTCTTCAAATCACTCATTTTTTTGCTTTTTTCTGCTTAGGTTCACTAACACTAATATATTAATGAAATATTCAACTATTTTGTGATTATACCTTAGGGATGGAATCAATCAGGTTCATTTATTTCTTGATGTCTTGCAGGATGCCATTTTTACATATGCCCTAGGGAGCTGAGAATGTGAATGTGTGAGCATGTATGTCATGTGTCCGTGCATGTCTGTGTGTGTGGCGTGTGTATCTAAGCGTGTGGTGTCGTGTGCATCTCTATGTGGTATGCACATGTGTAATTGTGTGATGTCTCTGTGTATGGTGGGTGTTGATTTTGTGTTGTGTGTCTGTGTGACATAGATGTATGTGTTGTGTATGTATCAAGATGCTTGGTGTGACCTTTGACAAAGCCCACAAGCCATCACTGCAGTCAAGAATAGGAAACATACCTTACACCTTGTCTTTCTTTCCCCACACATAAAAATGGCTTGGAGCAGCTCATCAATAGACTCTGGAAAGGCACAGCCAAGCCACAGCCACAGTCTGATCCAGATTCTGGAAATCACAAACAGCTGCCTTGGTCAGGGACTCACACTCTCAGCTTTAACAGCAGGCAGAAGAAAACACAAGGTCTGCTTTGATCCTGCTGACAAAATGAGGTATTCATACAAGATGCTACTGTCAAAATAGTTTACTTCACAGCAACAAGAGATCCTTTGAAGAAATATGCTCAAAGTGAAGCATGTACTTATTCTATTTGCAAACAAAAATAAATCTATTTTTACTTGCAGGTGGAAAATTGCAGTCTAGAAGCCCCTCCTGAAGGAGCAGTAAGTGTACTGCCTAAAACAGAGGGATCCCAGGAAGCCCACATGCGGTGGGAAGCCCCTCCTCACCCCAACGAACATGTACTCTGCTCCATCATTTGTACTGGGATTTTGTATGCAGAGCAAG